GAGCTGCGTCCAATCAAAAAGCCATTAAAAAGTATTACGCTTGAACAAAACTGTACAAAGCAGCAGATAAAAGCATTTAGAAGCACAACAGAGCAAAGAGAGCAACACAGCATGCAAGTCAGAGTCAGAGTCAGAGTCAGAGTCAGTGGCAGAGACGAAGACAAAGGCATAGACAGAGATAGAGAGTTAGGGTTTATACATATACACACTCGATATATATACATATGCATCTATATCTATGTGCGGCGACAGGACTTTCCTGCACAGACCTTGCTCGAGCTGCATGCGCGAGTAATTAAAAGTATTCGCAGCAAAGAAACTCACTTCTTGCTCAAGTCCCTTCAAGCAGGTGGAGCGAATGTTAATTTTGAAATATATGTAAAGAACAAAAATGTAATAGCTTACAGAGCTCAGAACCTAATTATATCTCAATTAGAAATATTTTTTTGTTCGATGCAATGAAATGTCTTTAATTTAATCTGCTATAGTCTTTACCCATTATTTTTTGAAAAGCCGAAAAATATTATAGTTTGTCTAACTAAAGAACTTATGTATTATAATCTTTGTGTTTCTGTCAAAATTCGTTATAGAGTATTTGAATACACGTAACAAAATGAAAATATTATCGTAGATATATGTATGTAAAGCTAGGAACATCTGACACATATACTCGTTAGCACGTTCTTCTCTGATTTTCTTAAAATGTGGAATATCTACTCACAATTGCAAAAGTATTTTTACAATTTATATTATCATTTGAAACGCATACAGAATCTTCAATACGTCTTATTCTAGCAAATATTCTTAATTCAGCAACTTAGTTGTTTAACTTGGCTTAAGTGAAGAGCATCTTAAGGGTGCACAAGTGGAGAGTGAACTAATATGCCCAGTCTTAATGTCTTAAATGCCTTAGCAAGCCACTAAGGAGTGTATCAAATTGAAAAGAACTACATCTTCAAAGGCTTTAAAAGTATAGTTCCCAAATAGTAGACTACTGCAGACTCGTTCTTGAAATGTAGTAGAAATTGTTTAACGAATTTTGGATCGTGAACGAGTATTATGCAGACGATTCATGGGGTATATTTAATTTTTTAAAATCCCCGACTAGGATTACAAGTTGTTATGTCTTTAAGTCTCTTGTTTTCTCGCATCTCAATATTGAATTCCGTTTTAGTAACTACTCGTATATTGAAGTCAACTGGATAAGATTACTACATATATGACATATGTCTTATACATACGATAGAGATCATATATAGTTTATATATGATATATTGACAAAGTCGCTATCAACTCGATTTGTCTGATGAGTTCCATAAGAACACAATTATTCACAATAGAGACATTTACTTATTTTGGGAAAATCAGCGTAAAATCTTAGCAATCAGTGTCGTATGGCTATCAGGACTGGCAGTTGCCCTCTCACCCTAGCCAGCCCTGCTCATGCTGTACCACATGATTAACTGCTTAGTGGCCGGAGTGGACAATAAGTGGAAAACCGCAGGCCGCAAAAACCGAAAAGCCGAAAACTGAGCCTAAGCCAAAAACCCGAAAGACTCACTTGGGGGAGGGAAGAAACAAACAATCACAACAATTTGCCACGCCTACACAAGTAGAGGAAGAAGAAGCAGAGAAACCGCATAAGCACGCGCGCTTCAAAAAAAATATCCGTTCGCATTTGCCGCTGAGCCAACGGCGGCCGCATTAGCCGAGCAACACCCCCAACAGCAACCCCAACCCCCATGCAGTCCCGGGCTAAACAATGGGAATCGGGCTTGCCGAGGCGCAAGGGAAGAATGGATTTAAAGCTGGGGAGGAAGCTTCATAAAAAGCCATTTTGTGCGGTTTGTTCGATGGGCTGGGGAAGGGGGAATGGCAAAGGGTGGGAGTGGGAGCTGGGGTATGTAGTTCTATTTGCACCCTGCCATTGACACTGCTCGAATGACATTTATTTTATTCGCAACTTCCGGCTTGCAGACGTCGGCAAACATCCGGACTCGTCATACTTTTGTGTGCCTAATGTCTGCCACTTGACTGCCGGCGCGTATTCGGCAATTAAGCAGCCCCAAAGACAAGGGCTTGACTTTGAGACCGACTCCCGAGCAGCCTGGGGACTAGCGTACAAAGAAGCCAACCAGTTCCCAAACAAACGAACGGAACGGAACGAAACGGAACGGAAGGCTGAACGGGAGAGCGGGTGGCTGGAACGGCTGCTGCTCCGAGTTAATTGCCAGGGCAGAGCAGCGTCTTTGTCTCTATTGAGGCTCTTCATGTTAGCTCTCTCTCCCTCCTACTCTCTTTTTCTTTCTCTCTCTCTCTCTCTCTCTCTCTCCCTCTCTCTGTGTCTCTCTTGTTGGGCTGCTTTGTTGAATTGTGCGGTTAACGATCCCAATTTGATGAGTAGTCCTTTTGATTGCTTAAGTAAGTGGATGTGAACCGGTTCGCTAGTGGTTCAAAATGTTGTATTATGCAAGCGCACAGGCGTTCAAGGAACTTTCGTTGGAAATCTCAGTATCTTTTCAATGTATCTTTCTTCAATATTTGAATATATTTTACAAAAGAAAACCTCAGTTAAACAAAATTCAAGTTCGACAGAAGCTAAACATTAATATTTTGATCATATTTTGCTTATGCAATGTGAGATTCACTTATAAACAGTTAGGAATTATAGCTAAATATTTTGTTTTAGTTGACACTTTGAAGACGTTTTGAATGTAATTGTCAACAATCTCAATAACATATAATAGAATTTTGGTACTCCAACTATTCTGTCAATAATAGTGAGTAAATGTTGCAAACTAGAATGGTATGAGCTGGGATGGATGATGGATGCATCATCAGATTTATGATAAAAATTATAATACAGTTTCAATGTATTTCCTATTTGTTCATCAAACTTTAATAGAGTGCCAGTGTATGTTTTTTGATCTGGTTCGCAGGTAGTTCAGCTTTATATTTATGAACTAGTTCTGAATGGAACTCAAATATTTTAATTCTATCTCTGAAGTTTAGAGTTTTATATATAATATATGTATACATAATATAATAATTATTCACCTATTACAATATACAACATATTACAATATACAAACATCATTAATATATGGATACATGGATAGACAGATATATAGATAAAGAGAAAGAGGCAGACATAGTAAATCTTATATCTTATATTTTACGAAATATATTTTCGAACTACATCTAAGAGTAACTAAAATATCTCAATTCAATGCAGAATGTTTTATGTATAATTGAGTATAATAGAAATATTTGTACTCAAAGCAGGATAAACCCTATTTTAGGTATATAGAAATCTATTTGTGAACTATTTCCAAAGTAAGTTCAAATTTTACAGGCTGTTCATGCCTTGCTAGATATGAACTGATCGCAAAGTCCAGGTATGGGAACTTGTTTATTCCATGCTCGAGCTGGAAATTCTGTAAATTGGATCTGTGGCTGGGTAATTGTGTCGTTTGGTTTAGGTATTCGAATGCGATGCGATTAGATCTGTCAGTGAAGGTGACCCTTCCCGCTGCTGCTGCTGCTCCTGCTGCTTTTATTGCTCTGAGATGTCAGCCAGGCGCAGACAACAACAGCTGTCTCCTTTTTTAGTTCAGTTGGTGCTTTTTGTTTTTGTTCACTTGCAACGCATTTTTAATTTTACAATTTCACATCGCATTTACATAGCTCTCTCGTTGTGTGTATGTGTGTGTGTGTGTGTGTGTGTGCGATGCTTATCACATTCGAGGACAATTGCGGCTGCTGCGAGCTGTGCACGTTGTGGTAATTTGATATCATTGTTGTATAATTTGGCATTGCCTGGCATAAGTGCTGCGTAATTAGCAAGGACATGCCCACAACAGAGCCAACCGCACAAAAGGGCGGCGACGTCGACTGTGCTGTGCGGCGGGATTTGGCAGCGGGAAATCCTTTGCTGACATTGCTCATTTGTCATTTTAACAAATTTATTTTGTAATGAATGCCACACACACATACACATACACACACACGCACACGCACACAGGCAGGCAGGCAGGCACTTAAGCCAACACATCAATTAATTCTGAAAGCATTAACATGCTCCTCCAACTCCAGCCTCGAACAACGCGAACTGAGCCACAATGTTTCGTTGCAGCCTTCGTCTCCTGGATGAAGTTCTATTCGACGTTTCCCAAGGAGCTGAAGCCCATCTTCAACGTGCGCATCGCGCACATGGGCCACTTTGCCAAGAGCTTCGCCCTCAAGGAGGCGCCCAGTAAGTTCGCCGGCCAGCATGCCGCCCCCAAGGCGGCCCCGCCCACCAATCGACTGACCTACACCGAACGGTATTTATCCCATTCAATTGCATCATTTGATTGGTGACTTTGGGTATTGACAATCATTTATCCCTTCATCATTTGCAGCGATCCCGAGAAGGTGCAGCAGGCGAAGCGGGAGAAGCGGCGCCTCTACACGACGACGGTCAGCGGGGAGGTGAGACAGACGCAGCAGCATGGCGCAGCGGACCGCAGGAAGCTGGCCGGCAATGGCAGAAGCAGCTTCATGAAGAGCCTCAACAAGTCGCGCGCCCTCACCATATCCGAGTTCGACAGCGGCTTGCCCGCCATCGGAGAGCCCAAGCGGCGCAAGCAAGCGTAGGCCAAGGACTAGGCGGAAGACGGATGACGGAAGATGAAGGATGGAACTGGAGCTGCATTGGCTGCTGGAGTGTCGACCGGACGGCCCCCATTTATGCGCGCCATTTTGTTCGGGAGCGCTGTTCAAGCGTTTAATCGAAAAGTAAATTGCCTGCAGTTGAGGCGCGCCGGCGGGACAGCGCCGTCTTATGTACATAGATAAAAAATTCCGGGCTAGCTGAGACGCCCAGCTCATAAAAGTTTCATTTTTCTCAACTTTTAAGCCCGGACGTCCTGCGGGAAAAGTTGCGTCAGCGCTGTTAGCATATTTAAGGCTCATCTTTACAGTTAGTTTTCGCTTGATGTTCGCTCCATACATATAGAGTCTATATATAAATCGTTTTATACATATTTTTTTTCTTACTTTATGTAATATGTTTTTAAAGGCAAATATTAGAAATCCATTTTCCGCTCACTGCAGACTCGTTCAGTTTTAAAAATGTCAATCTCTGCTGAGCGCAGGAGCGGGGTGGGGGCGGCACGTGTTGGCCGCCTTTTTGTGCAACTGAAGCGCGTAATTTGTTGGACAAGCCATAAATAAATATGAAACATAAACGCATAAAAAATCAAACGATTTGCTATCGCTTTACTTAGTTTGCTTTTGCTGTCGCCTTGTCCCCCTCCCCCGCTGCCCTATCGAAAGCGTGCGGCAATATTTGCGCAGGACACGTGCCAGGCGGAGGTGGGCACGGCCGTAGCCGCAACCGTAGCCGTAGTCGCAGTCACAGCCGTGGCCATTAATAGCGAGCCGAATGCGGCCCAATTAAAAGGGGCCAGCGATTGATTTTTAATTAGTCGCCTTATTGACGGTTTCTCTGGCTGGCAGCCACAGCTCGAAAGTTAAATTGGTCGACCAATCAACCCAGTAGCAGCAGGCAACCCCTCCAACCGCGCTCCGCCCTTCACATTGTTCTGCTATCGAGCGTCCACGGATTGCGTCGAGTCCTAATTACGTGCGAGCGTCGGCATATGAAATAATATTTTGATACAGGTGTCCCGGCCACGCAGCCGACAGTTGACTTTGCCGGCGCGAGAGTAGAGTGCAACTGGGTATACCCACTAGAGCAGGCAGCCTAGCCCTAGTCTAGTTGGATCCTCTATTTGACTACGGCTACCCGATTGCTTGATCTGTCAATATAATTCAAATAATATAGAGCCGTTCTCTTGAAACATGTCTTGCTAAAGTTCATCAATTAGGCAGATCGATTCTAGGATCGTACAGGTGTAGGAAGATATTGGAATTGGCGATTGTGAGAAGAAAGGCCGATAAAGCTGTTGCAGGCGGGTGTGAGCGACTGCCTAATACTAATCACTAAGAGCGTAAAAACGAAAGTTTTTAAGTAATATCAATATATTGGTTATAGATAGTTAGTATTATGAAATATAGTATAAGTTTTGTTTTAGGAATATCATAAATACATATGTTTGTCTGTAAATATAAAAAGGTACATCAATTTATCGACTGTAGATCGTAATTGATTTGTCAACCATATTTGTAAGTGAAATACATACAGGGCTGTACATACTCGCCTGATCCATCTGGCAGCCCCATAAAGTGGCCCATATTCTTTTTTTTCTTAAAATCAATGGATAATACGTTTAATGTTGATAATAATCATTTGAATTGGTTCAAGTAGATTTGTTGACAACAGTTTTCGAATATGATATCTCTCGAATGGCCGCCTTGAGCCTGTACGGCGTATTGTCCCCGTCCCCATCAAAAGATATAGGGCTACCAGATGGGTCCGTCGAATATGGACCACCCTGTATTGTGTTGTATGAAGTACATATTTTGTTATAGGAATACTAAAATTTTACAGTAAAAATAATAAAGAAATATCAGAGATTGTCTGCAAATATACTTCAGCCTTAACATCGAAGTTATCTTTGCTTGTCTATTTGTATTGTGGTTGTATATAATGCAAATAGTATTCTAAATAACATTAAGGTATCAAATATCAGCCTACGTGTTCACCTTTGGTGTAGAATAGCTTCTAAAATAATGGAACGATAGTCTTACGACATCACATTTTAAGATGTTTCTTCTGAGGGAATGGAAACACAGATATAAAGTCGCCTTTTTTGAAAAGTGGAACAGAAATCCTTCAAGTCCTTGATGTAGTGTGTTTGTAATTCCAAGTGGAGTCAGCAAGTGTCGTCCTTGCTGTTGGTTGGCCAGTGGCCGCTTGCAAAGGGTTGTTGAGTGTTTCTAATGCGATTGCACTAATGGCTTGAATTATAGACGCATTAGGGTAAATTAAAATCCTCCTCGTCCATTGGCACTGCCGGGGGTTGTCCATATGCCGGTTGCCAATAAAAAGCCAACTCACTTAGTGCCAGCGACTTGACCCCCCGCTCAAACGACTAGAGAGCGACCCTCGAGGGCTGGCGCGATTGAGGGCTGGGGATTATGGGGTGGATTTAACGCTTTAAGTGGGGGCGGACGTGCCAGAGATGAGGTGTGAGCCAGAGGGGAGCGAACAACGATGTTGAACTGTAATGAAGTTGTAGCGGCTGCATCAACAATGCCATTGCCGGACGGCTCCATTGTGGTCAGGTGCAAATGTTGCAGGTTTTCATTCAAATTGAATAGAGAACACGGCAGAGGGAGACACAAACACACCCACACACGAAATGTATAAAAACGGAAAATGGAAAAATGGAAAAAAAAAGAAAGGTGAAACCCCAACAGCTGTCAACATTTCTCCACGGCCGGGGAGGTCGGAGAAATCACTTTGATTATGACAATGCTCCGACCCAGGCTCGTTGACAATTGACTGGCACAAAGGATGTGGCACTGTGGCCTGGTGGCAACTAGCGGACGAGGCCCGCATTGGACCTGTCACCTCATTCCGGCACATAAAGAGCCACAGCCCATTTTTCTTTTTTTTATTGTTATATAATCTAACTAGAATTAAGCACATTTGTTGTTAAGTAAGCGGGGCTCTGAAAAAAATCAAGTTCTTTCAATTAGAGAGTAAATGTAATACTAAAGTTTGATAATTTTTAATTGGGATCAACGAAGCGCGATTCTAATTGGAGAAATTAAAGTTATCTATATGACTTGGTTAAAGTAAAATAAAGCCGTGCACTAACTAATCGATACTATATTATCGATTGCTTCCGACATTCATTGACTTTGTTTAGAAAGTGCATTAGCCCAATAAGCAATCAAAGTCTGATTGTCTTATATGAATATGAAATCAAATTATATCACTCACAGAGCAACTCTTGAGAGAAGAAGAAGCTCACTTTGTTGTATATCAATATGTTCTTCTCCTGAACCCACTGAATCCGTTCAATCTCACTTTAATAATTATAATTGTGATTGTGATACTGTTAAGGACAAATACATGCCGTTACTCGACATTAGATTAGCTTTTATCTTTCTACAATCCTTAATTAGAAACAATATTAGAAATGTTAGGGTAATTTATGTTGAAGTTGCCTTATGAAGCATATGGAAACCAGGAACTCTATTCAAAATGGAATTTCCGAAACAAATTTGAATTTTAAAGATGTAAACAAAAACAGCTATTTATGGATTTTTAGACTTGTACAAATTTAGTTCTATAAAAATTACTATACATTCATATTTAATATGTATACTCCCAGCTATTTAGATTAATTTCTGTTGAGGACTTTTGTGTTTCCCTACATAGAGATATTCCTAGTTTCTATAAAGTATGAACAGACTAGTTTGTTTGATATAAAAAATTAAATATATAAATTCAAAACTAAATATATAATTGATATGAGTTTATTTTATATGATAATAACAATAGCTAGTCAGTTATAGTTGGGATTATTCTAGATGGCTTACGTTCTACACGGCTAACGCTCAGAATTTTCTGAGTTCAGTAGTGAATCCTGAATGATGCTTCATTAAGTGAACTCTATAAAATACATGAATCCAAATTTCCGCTTAACACTTTCCTGCAACAGCAAAATTTTTACTATAAGAACAAAAAAGGAATTCATCGAGTGAGCATTAGAAAAATTGTTATGCAGTTAAAAGAACAACTAGGATAATGTACGGTCGATTAAAAGAGATCAAGATCAATAAAAATATAATATAAAGAATATTGCATATATAAATTTGTTACAGTTTTTTAATAAATTTTTGATGGTCTACTTAATGAAGGCTGAAGGGATAAAATAGTGAGTGGATAACATTGCATAATACTTTTTACAAATTTCATTCGATAATAAGTTGATAGATAAGGACAGTCCCTGTCAGAAGTATTGGTATAACAACAATTTTTTGCTGTTGAAGATTTTCGCCCAGTTATTGTTAAATTTCTCAATATTTTCTTGGCAGTCCCAGAGTCTATGTACATGATAGAGATAATTCCTCTGCTGAAATACCAAAATCTGCTCCGATTTCGAAATATCCGAAAATATTCAACATCTACTTCTTTGATAGTTTATTAGATTGTTTCTCGTTTCAGTGAGTTCACTCCCGTTAACACTTTGCAATTGCAAATGTTTTACAAAGTCTGCGGAATCCAAGTGGCTTTGGCACTGGCAAAGCCAAAGGCAAATCCGAACCCAGACCCAAACCCAAATCCAAACTCAAACCCAATTCCGAGTCCAGGTCCAGTCAATTCCGCAAAAGGTGCGCGTCTGCAGCTATTTCATTTTATATACATATTTTTATTTTTTTTCTCTCACTCCCTCTCTCTCTCTCTCCCTAACTCCCTCATTCTCTCTCTCTCTCTCTGTTAGCCATTTCCAATTTCCAATTATAACGCAACGCGATTGCGTGCACAAAATGACATGCTTTTATGAATTCGCGATGATCTCGAGACGGGCAACGGGCTGAAGCGTTGATAGGCACTCGGTTGGGTGTATGTGTGTGTGCATATCTGTACGGGTATACACACAGGCACACATACAAATGTGGAGCAAACGAGGACAGGGATACCCTTTAAAGGAAATATGATTTCATTTGACGGCGCTGAGGCCCCACAGCACCCACACAGCCAAAGAGGCCGGAAATCGGGATGAACACAAATTATATATATATATATACATATTATATATATGTGGGTATGTGATGTGAGGCTATTCATGCTACGTGCTACTCCTGCTCATGTCTCGCTTTCTTTTATGGCATTGCTATCCAATTATGTTCATTAAATTGGCATTTGAAATTAGCCAAGGCAAAGGATAGCTGAAAGGAGCTGGAGCAGGAGTCGGCAGTTGAGAGTTGCGAGTTGGTAATGCTGCCGTGGCTGCCCGATAAACTACTTAATACTTATTTAATTTGTGCCTCTGATCCGAATGTAGTCGAGCAGAATGCGCCGCACAACTGTCATAAAAATCACGCAGCGGAAATTATTTTGTCACCATTTATAATTGCATTGTCACACCAAAAACACTATTGATTCATGTTGCTGTTGCTGTTGCTGTTGCTGTTGTGGTGGTGTTGGTGTTGGTGTTGGTGGTGCTATAGCGCTGCCTCTGCTGTTATGATTATTATGATTGGAGGGTGTTGAAAGTAACACCCCACACATTAAATCAAGTGGCTGTAGCCGTGGCAGTGCGTCGACAACGTCATACATAAATTATTGAAAAATCATTCTGCAAATAAACTCAACGAGCAGAAAGACAGACAGAAAGACAGACAGACAGACAGACAGACAGTCAGTCACAGAGACCCAGCTCGAGCCCAAAGCCATAGCCACAGTCATAGCCATAGAGCTCGGGCTGGGTATGAAGTAAATAGAACCCACCACCAGGATATGCCAGACACGGACACATGGACAGGGATTGCCTGGCTTGGCCTGGCCTGGCCTGGCCTGGCTGTCTGACTGTGTTGATGGCTTTGACAAGAGCGCAAATAAAGCAGTAAATAACTGAGCTTGTTACAGCGCAAACAACGGTAAAGAGTGTGTGGCCAAGTTCAGTGCGTTGCGTATACGCCGCATGGCCAGCGAGCAGTTTAAAGGAGTGAAGTGAAGTGAGTGGCCAAGGGGTGTCAGCTTGGCCAACAGCATCAAATCCAATTAATTGTATTGCGCCTAAAACTTGAAGCCGAGGCGTCGAAGCACAGCCAACAACCCCACACTGCCAGCGGCACCCACCCAACCGCCGCTTCCTGCCAGCCGCAAGTGCCGCAAATGCCTAATGGAAGGCGACGACTCCTGTGCCTCGTCTGTGCTCCGTCAGTTCCGTTTCCGATTGAGCGAATGCCCGTCTATTTATTTGCAAATGCAACTTGTCCAATTTGACAGTTGTCGCTTGTAAATGCCAAGGCTGGCTTGGAGCAGCAGGGGGAAGGGGCCGGGTCCCAGAGGGCGGAGGAGTAACCGAGTGAGCGACAGCGACGTTGGCGCCCACTCAAGCGTAAAGTGTGAAAGCCTGTAACGAGCCATATTGCAATTAGATTTTGTGTAAATTTATTTATGCTAATTAGTTTCAATTTGATTTAATTTGCGCTCAAGCAGCTCAGCTCAGCCAGCCAGCCAGCAGCAGATCGGCCGGCAGTGTGTGGGGTGGGGAGTGGGGAGTGGGGGAGTGGGGAGTGGAGAGTGGAGAGTGGGGGCTAAGTGGAGACGCAACGAACTGACAATTAAAAGCACGTTAAAAACGCATTTAGCAAACGGACCAGGCAGCCCCACAGCTCGGGTCAACCTGGCTGGGATCCGTTTAAGCCGAAAACGCCTAATGACA